AAGTATTTGATAATTTAACTTTTGCTTATATTTGAGAAACTAAGAAAATATTGAAGAATCCTACAAACACAAACAGGATTCCCAAAACAACAACAGATCCATGTTTCTGGATTCTTTCTTATCTACAAAAATTTGTGGGATATTTTAAAAACTTGCACATCTCATTTTTGTAATGTACACCAACTCATCATCTTGGCTCACTTTCAAATTGAATTAGTACTTAAATTTTCATTTAAAATCAGCAATTTCTGTAACCCTACAAGTTTTTGTGGTGTGTTTTTTGTTTGTTTGCTTGGTTTTTTTTTTCCTTTTTCAGTGCCCACTCTTGCTTGCCAGTAACGGGGTGTAATACTTCTCCTTTCCATATGGGGAAAATGACTGCTCTACTGCTGCCAAGATCAATCTTGTCTGTAATAAGGATAACTACTGGGTGATCTTTTGGAACTAGCCAAATGAATGACAGATATGTGAGAGTGATTCAAGTGCCTATCCACAGCTATTTTAAATTAAACTGACACTGGGGGAAATGTTGTGTACCCAATTCTTTTTCCCATACACTAGGTATTTTTAACTGGTTCCCATGAAGATCTCATACTTGCATAACCAAACCAAGAATTAGGAATTAAGCCTCTGTGACTTTCATCTGGTAATGAAATCTCCCTTCCTTCTCAGAGTGCAGTTACAGATATTCCAAAGATGAGACCTCATTCCAAAGCAGCTACAGGTCTTCCTACCTCTCATACTACCTGAGGAAAAGCAAGGGAAACAGCCTCTGAGTTCCTGGACAAGAACTTTGCACCCTCATGTTCTGGTACTATTATTTCCTTACATCTATTTAAGTCTGCCCATCCACGTAAATGGAGTAAAGAAATGTTCAGTATGCAATTATATCAGACAAAATAAGCCTCTAATGCTCAAATTGAGAAAGTTTAATATAAGTATTTCACTGTTAACATTTGAGGTAAGAGAAGAAGAACCATTTACAGACAATACTGTCAGGACAGAAGGAAAAGAGAGAGAAAAACTATGAAAAAGCTGCACATGCGTAACAGGATTTTTTCAAGATCAGTTAAAAAGAGAGGAATTCTGTACTCTTCAGTACATATAACCATTGTCACAGCACAGAGCCTTCACAATTTTCCAGTGCACCTGAACACACTGAGCCACAGTGAGGCTCAGGTACTGCATGCAGACCATCAGGTTCCTTATGAGAGTGGGAGAGGCAGGAGCTCCCATCCTGATCTAATTTTGATCTAATCTGCAGTCAGTAAATGACCTTGCCAGTAACCTGCACCATAGGTGATTTCTCTCCTTGATAAACTCATGAAAGAAGAATCCACTGAGTGATATGAACAATAAAATTCTAATGTCTGCATTAAGGTATCTCTAAGACACCAATCACTGGAGGCAGAAAAGATGATCAGAGAGACACCATTTTGTGTTTGCCCTATTCACACTTCCTCCTTCTACTGGCCAGAGACAGAACCCATGGTCTGCACCTCTTCTGACACTTCTTCAGTTTTGCTTCAGGAAGTATTGCTATTATAAGCTGGGGAAGCTTGAATTTTCAGAAGTCCCAATGCCTATGAGGTGGGATGGCATTCAGTAGTGGACACAATACAGTTGTTTAGTCACAGATTGTGGCTATAAAAAAAAACTAGTACAAGAGAAGAAAATCAAATTAATATTCTGTACTCAGTCACATCAGCAGAGGCTAATCAGACTGTTAGTCCATTAGTAAAACCACAAGGTTTCACTCCAGCAGCTCTGAAACAGTAATGGATTTTCCCAGGAAAACTTGAAAGAAAAGGTGAAAAAAGGTTTGTGTGGTATGATGGAAAGGAATGCCAGACACAGCTTTGGTCAAACATTCCCATTAAATATTTTCTCATTACCCACTAGGTTCACTCACAGGCCAATTTCACTGGCTATTTACCAAGGAGGTTTAAGATAATGTTTACTGCTCTATAATGTTTTTCAATTTTCTAAGCTTACTGGCATTTCCTTTAAAAAAAATCCTAATGAAATTAAAAAAGTAGCACATAAATAGTTTTATGTTTTCTCTTCAGAGTAGATTTTCTGTTACTCTGATTATATATATTCTGCCACTAAACTGGTATACAAATGTCCTACAAAAGTATTATTATTTTTATTTTATACTTAAAACAAATTACTAAATACGCCTTTTATCTCTAGCAATTTGGACTAAATCCAACTGAAATCACAGAAATTATTTCCATGAGGAATGAGAGCAGATCAAGCTTTTTGGAGAGAGCAGTGCTGGTGTATTTGTGCTTTTGCTACATGTATCAGCATAGCATAACTTTATTTCTGCAGTGCCTAAAAAGCCCAAAATAGAAAGATTAAAACTATATATTTCAGCACTAGATAACATGCAAAATGTAAATAAGTGGGATACTTAGTTGTAGAAAACAAACTGAAGTCTGAGAAAACATTATCTGTTTATCTTTAATTACTCTAATGTTAAATGCTATCTGCATTTTTGAGAGTATAAAGAAGAAATGGAAACTAGGCAAGCAGTCCATAGAAAGCAAGTAATTACTGCACTGTTGAAAAAAATGCTTTGATAAACTAGACAAAAGATATTAATCTACCAATTTACAGTCCAATGATCTTTCCAACAAACAGCGTTTACTGCTTACAAAACATAAAAGCCAGTTTCTTGAAAATTCATTTGCTTTTAGCATGCCTTTATGCGTTTATATTTCACCAAACACAGCAATTTGAGAAGAAGAAGAAATGAACACTAATGAAAAAGCCAAAAGATACAAACAGCAGAAAGACCTTGAAAAAATATACTGCTTCTATTTTGTAACACCACTTATACTAATTTTTCTTCTTTTAGATTCAGGTTGATACACTAAACTGTGTTTTTCTTAGATATGTACTGTTTAGGTTGTAAGCCAGACAAACTGATTGTACAGATATTATTAGTGCTGACTCACTGAAAATTATCTCATAAAAGCAGTATTTATAAGTCTCAATTCTTCACCATTATTATTTTGACTATTTTCATTTTCGTTATATGCAAAGCAGAAGAATGACAGTCTTAAATTTTATAACTACAAATGAAGAAAACCAGCAGCACTAAAACTCTATACACTAATTTACTACAGTCTTAAAAAGTACCATATAAATATCAGCACCTATATAAATTTATAGCATAAATTATGAACCTGCTGAGATTTGTATAGATACTTAAAATTTTACTACGTGAGTGGTCCCAGTGAAGGTGTTTATTGACAGTTTCCTACTGTTGGGTCTCAATTCCATGTCTCTTCTGCATTTTGAAGCAAAGAACAAAAATTTATGTCTCAATTCTGAGAGAAACTGATAGCAAAAGAATCTTTACTTGACTCTCCTGTAGCACTACCTATCTCAGCAGGTAAAGAGACTCTCTAATTTTGAGAATTAGAAGACAAAATTAGCAAATTAAAACATGCAGACTGGTGACCAGTACTTTTCACTATTCTCACTAAGTTGGAGATACAAGATCTATCATTGAAAATCTCCTCATTCTTGCAGTCTTAATGCTCAAGTGATGTTCCCTTGCACTGTTACTGACTTGACCATCACTAAAAGGAGATGCCAGACACCTCCGGACACTCAGTTCTAAGGAGTTCAAATTCATTGTGAATGCAATTATTAAATTACTTTGTTGCCTGTGCTCAAGGACAGAAGAGTTCCTACAAAGGTAGACTTCTTACACTTCATCTTAGCTGTTTTCCTTTTCTCAGTCAAAAAATTTCAGAGGAGATACTGAGGCACTCGTTTTCTCTCAGAAAATGGTTATAAACAGTTGCTTATAAAACTCGTATCAGAAAATAAAAATCCTCAAGAAATTCTCATATGTTGAGGTCTACTATGTTCCATAGGAGAAAAATTTAAAATCCAATTTATGTTATTTTTAGAGAAATTCCTTAGTACCAAATAAAACTTCTAACGTCGTATAAAGCCCCCTGTATTTAGATTTGGTAAGAATTCTCCATTTTTCATTTGCGAGACTACTGCTACGGAAATGATAGGTATTAACAAATCCATCTGTAACCAGATTTTGTTTTAGGATGAACTAAAGGAGAAAATGGAATTTGAAAAGAAATTTGAAAAGAAAAGGAAATACAAATGTAGATACTGTATAAATGACTCCCAGAAGGTGGTTTGGTCAGCTGTGCTAGGAAAGACTACTGTGCTGCATTAAAAAAAGTGCAGTAGAAAACATTATCTTGAAACAAAGTGACAAAGCTGTTAATCTGACAGACTGCAACAACTAATGGGATGCAAGCATATGTTGCCATACTTATCACTGGCAATTCTGTTTTAATTTCTGCCACTCCTGTTCCTTATAATCTATAAAACTTTACTGTGTACATCACACGAGTGAAAAGACCTCTTTTTAACTATGGTATTAAGCTTTTCCCTTCTGTACAAGGTAATAGTTCAAGCCACAGACAGACCCTTCTGTGTTACAGATTCACAACTTTAGAGTTTATATTACTGGTGAGATGGTATATTTGATGGAGAGATTCCCAATGATAACTTCCTTTTATCACTAAATTATTCCATTTACACAAGCTAGAGTTCATTGAAAGACATTCTATAGCAATCACAAATCTAGTTTCAGGGATAAGTAGGAGTTTTGTCACATTACGGCATTTCATCATGATAACTTGGAATAAACAGCAAAAATATCCAAATACTTTAGGATTTGTGCCTGACTTTACAGATCTAGAAGGGTTCACAGAAATCCTTGAGAAACACAATGGTAACATCAAAGCAAGGAAGTTCTATTGCTAAAACATCTTGTCATATGATTTATTTTTTTCTTTAATTGAAAAAAGAACAGCACCTATTCAGTTTAGTCTAGCCCTATCTCTTACTCATGGAATAGGAAAATGACAATAGTGTTAAGTAGATAATTACCTGTATGAGAGGAAAATAAGCATATGAATATGATGGCAAAAGAAAACTAAAATACATACTGCATCGGTAACTTCTATCTCGTACAACTTCTGGAATGTCTCACGATAAAAGAAAAAGAGCTTCCCACTGCCACCACCTTTCTTAACAGAAGTGCCTGTGACAAGTATTTTATCATCTGGGCTGAAACAACAATCTGTCCTGTTGAAGAAAACATCACAAACATATAATTAACATATAGAGAACTTATATATGAATTGCATTCCTTAAGAGCAATCCTTTCTATTTGTTAATCCTTTCAAGACAAGACTTTTAAGTAATCTTTTGTCAGCTGTCATCTATTACAATAGTTATCAGATATCTATTGCTGTAGTTATCAGTTACAGTTATCTATTACAATTGCTATTACAGTTGTGCAGAGGATGTGCAAAACTGGCAGATTCAGTAAAAATCCTCCTCCCAACAAAATTCTCCTCCACTCAAAAGTCTTGTAAGCTTTTCACTATGAGAAACAAATGACAAAAAAAAAGCACTTTCAAATCTGGTTATCATCATTAAGTAAAAAAACATATCAGTCATGAAATCTGTTTTTGCTGATGATACATTCTTCAGTTATGCAAGGTGGTATGTTTATACATTGGCCAAAAATGTTTGTCATTTATTTTTCTACTACGTTAAAAATTACAGTCAAGAGTGAGCTGCTCATGACTTGCCTTTTTTAAATCTTATTTCAAAATTATAAACTGTCCTGAGGGTTGGATTTGGCTGTGCTACAGCTACAGAAATGCAGGTCATACCAAAGGAAATATTAAAAGCAATACTTAGCACTGTGCAGTTAAATAAAGTATTTTAGTACCAAAGAATACAGCCATCAGCACTTCTGAAACCTGAATTCATACCAGGTAACTTCATGTTATGTCTACTTTTTCATCCAGCTCTCTTTTAATAATCATAGACTAAATAAGAATGAGGTTTACATCTATATCTCATTACATACACATAAGGCAACGAATGGGCCTCCTCCTAAAAAGTTGCTAATCTAATTAGATATAAGACATATTTAGACTGAAAAATGGTATAAAACAAGTAAAGTTAGCTATGAAATACCACAAAAATGATGAGAGCTTTTAAAGCAATGTGAATCTCTAAAATAGCCAAGAACTGACACTGCACAGTCCTCCCTGTGCAGTCCTTTCTGCACAGTTCTGCACCTAGAGGCAACTGATGAGTACTCCAGTAGAACCCCATTCAGCAAAAATACTGCTATTTCTACTAGCTGGAATAAATCAGAGTACTTACATTGGAAAGAAGCTGGGCAGTCCATCTGCTGAATTAAGAGGCTTTTTAAATTGTCTAATATCCCATATCTTTAAGGTATCATCTCCTATGAAACAAAAGAGACAAAGGTTAGCAATAAAGAATTAAAGTCAAGAATTTAGGTACATCAGAAAATTTCATCCTCTAATTCAGACAGAAGGAGAACAGAGTGATAGAATAGCAGCATTCTAAACAGGAATGGTTTGGAAGATTTTTGTCCCTAAATGACTATGACAGTGCAAGGATAAGAAAGTTTAAAGTGCTACACTAGTATATCAGAAACTTCTCCTCATTGCCTTAACTCCATCACGGTAATCCCTCCTACTAAGTATCGCTATCCACAGTGGAATCAATGGTCTAGATCAAAAACTAAACAAGTTTAGTTTATAAAAGTTTTATGTGTCTGGTTTCTACCTGTCATGAAAAAGTGATCAGGAAGGACGGAAAGCTCATGAAGTCTTCCCCCTTCTTTAGCAGGCAAACAGCAACAAAGTTCTACCTGAGGATGGTGAAGAGGCCCTGGCATCAGTCAGAAATCCTTGGGGTGAAGGGAAGCAAGGGAAACCACACCTGCTTTAATGAAACCTTTTCACAACACAATCTTTAGCCATAAAAGCTAAGATGGAGGTTACAGCAAGACATTTATAGCAATTCTCATCTGTGTTTGATAAACACAGTGTGATTGTAGGTCAGTAAAAGTTAGGTTGTTTATCCCTTTTCGAAAAGTTATGACATATTAACAAAGTGAGAACAGGGAGAAAAAAAAGAGATTAGTTAGTTATTCTCAGAGAGATCTACATCTCTGCTGTTATTCTTCTTGGATACATCTTTCCAGCATGAGACAAGCTACAGAATTTGAGTTTTGAAGCACCTAGACATCTCCTAGCATTTGACATCAGTGTCCCAGCACTTTCAAGGGTGAAAAGAAGGACATTAAACCAACAATTATCTTTTAAAATATCCAGAGATTGATTCTAGACTAAAAGTTACAAAATCTTTCCAACCTAGGAGGAAAAGGAGGCAAGACCTGCCTCCTTCCAAAGCACAAATCTTGCAGGGAAATAATTTGACTGTCTACAAGTATGTTGTGCATTCATAGCCTTTGAGCTCAAGAGCTCAAAGGAGGCCTTGGAAATAAAATGTTTTTTAAAAAAGTAACACACTGTAACAAAAGAAATCAAGGCCAGCAGTGCCCTTTACAGAGAAAGCAGTAATGTGTGGCCTCATACATCATGTATGTTTATATTAAAGACTAGGATAACTCCTTACTACAAAATATTTTTAAGAAGTGGACAACTTAAATAAATGATGTCTAGAGCAGAGTAGAAGCTAAAAAATTACAACAAAGAAAAATGTTGAGTCCCTATTTTGGGAATATCTGTTTTCTTATTGTTTCTCAGTAGACTCCATCCCAAGCACTCCAAAGCATTTAGTCTTGTAAAATACACCCCCCCTTCTCCCTCCCACCCCAACAAAAAAAACCCACTTATCACCAAGATGCTACATCTAAAGCATCAGCACTTTGTAAATGTATGCAAAGGACATCATTTGGCCACTTTGCAAAACTCCTGGATAGGGAAAGATATACAGCTAGCAGCCAAGGTTGTTCTGTTTCCAGTGGAATGAGCCTTGACATGATCTTCACGCTGTAGTCCTCCCAGATTTTAGCAGGACAGATGCAGTCAGACATGGAGCAGCTACAGCTCTTCTGCTATCAAGAAAATGTAATGGCCCAGTAAAAAAATTAGAAGACTCCAGTAGGACTCAAAGTTGTGGTTGTTTTCAAGTCAGTGCTGTATTTAACTGTGCAGAAATAGATAATTAAGTATTCGGAAAGGGAGAAACGCTAATAGAAATACTTGGCTAATGATGTGAAACTCCTACCATCATTAAGAATTTGCCCAAATTCACTGTTCCTAATCTGGTTTTCCTAAGGAAAATTTTCTGTGTGCAAATGTGATACTGATTACTGAATCTAATTTGCGTTCCGAGTTGGAATCACTGTTATGAAGATAGCAGAGTATTAACTTTCCTCAATAGCAAGGATTTTTTCCAGTAGCATTCTACTATCGAAGCTTAAAAGGCTCCTTTACTAGAGCTGTAGCACTACTGTTCTGTTTTTAATTACTTTATACATGAAAAAACCCTACTTATCCTTAAACAAAAACATATAAACAGAAGTTGTGCAGTTTAGTACGAAGCATTCAAAATAGTCTACTGAGATCATTCAGTATTTTTTCTCGATGGCAGATTTCTCTGAAGCCTGGCAGGATTACTTAAAGCTTTTATAGCCTTTTTAGTACCATTTCAAACTCTACTTTTTGCCATTTTAATAAAAAACATACCAATAAACAGGTTCAAGTCTGACACAATTAGGTCAGACACCATTATGCCAATAGTATTGAGCACTGGATTTATGAAAAGGTAACAATTAGGTCCTAGAAAAACAGTCTTTGGTGAGCCAAGATAGGTATTTTGCAAATGCCTTTTAGTCAAAATAAGGCCAGTGCACTGATACTAGAAAGATTTTGTCTGATTTTCAGTTCTCTCTTCAGAAAATACTGAGTAGGAAGACAAGTTCACGAATGTGAATGGGCCCAAAAGAAGAAAAAGTGCTGCCAGAAACTCAAAACCTTACAGTCAGCAACACCAAAAAGGTGAGCCCTGTGTTGAAAGCAAAGCTCAAGGACACAAGCTCTTCACAGAGATCACTGGGGAAAGCAAAGAAACATAGAAAATGGGCATTTAAAAAAGGAATAGGAAATACACAGCGTAACAAGGCTTACTGTGAGGGGGACCAGAATATGTTTATAAATTCTGACCCTTTCTGTGAAGGCTTATACTCTGTGTGTGGAGAGAGGTACCTTATGGAACAAGGTGTGTGCTTCTCCGTTCTGTACTGGTTCTGCAGGAGGAGCTGCAACAACCAAAGAATGACCTTCGGAGGGCACCAAACAGTGGGACCACAGCCAAAGGTCTCGGGGCAGAAGTCACAAATCAAGCCTTCTGCACCTACATTTGCGACAGTTCTCACCATCACCTGCATCCATGCCAGCCTGGTCAGATATTAAAGTGCACCATTTTCCCTAAATGTATGGAAGAGGAGGATATTGGAAGACTTTGAGAAAGCCATGTCAGCTCCAAGTGTTGCAAATAGTTGATATTGAAATATTAAAGTTAATTAATACATTTTTGGCATTGTGGGAATGAACAGTGTTCAGATTACTTGACATAAACCCATTTGATTTTTAAAATGCTAATGTCTGTATTTACTATGAAAAGAGCAATATATTATTCCTCTACACAAAATATGAAGTCACTATACATGTTGCTGCATAACCCTTGAGAAAACTGTACTCAAGGTGTATCTACATTTTAATCCAAATGCAAAATGAAATGTCTTATTTTTCCTCAAAAATGCTGTGAAAAGAGAAATATGATTCAATATTAAAAACAAACAAACAGACCTAAACCAGAAACAAATTCAAAACCAAATAAAAAATCTCTAAAAGAAACACCAAAACTTTTTTTTGAGCTCAGATGAAAGCATGTATCTACATAAGCTATCTGACAGCTTTGATGTGAATATTTTTTGCTTGGGTCTGACTGCATTGAATTTATTTTTCCTATACAAATTTATTGATTAAAATGACAATGAGTCCATATAGTGCCTGTACCACAGACAACAGATGAACCACCAAACTAAAAGCTGTCATGAGATTCATGGAATTTAGGAAGTCATCATTTCGTATGATGACAAAAACCAACTCCCATACATACCAGGAGACAAGAAAAGGTTTTTTTATATTTAAAATTTTTACAATAGGTCCCCAAGTCCATTCCTACTGCTTACCCTTTTCCCTGCTTAACAAAGAAAATGTTCTCCAAATTCGATCATTCATGGCTCCAAGCATGCAAAAATATCACTTTCTTAAGTTTCTGTCAAGTTACTACCTAATACCCAACAAGAATAAGACTGGAAACTTTCATAAGCAGCTCCTTAGGTTTTCGTTTTCCCTTGTGCCTGCAGCTGAGCCATGCCTCAGCTCTCTCATATCCAACACAGAATCTACATCAGATGCAAGAAAGCCCATCAGGCTTTCAATGAAAGTTCCCATGCCCCAAACAACTATCCCTCTCTTTGATCCTCAGCACTTGGCAGGTGTGTTAATCTATGAATGTTGGATCCACATCTGCTTTCATTGGTACAGATCCAAAGCAATACTCATATTAAAGCCCTAACCAAACAAGTCAAAATAAGGTATGAATCCTCCTTATTCCCTAGGATAGTGCACACAGAGCTTTTCCTTTTTTTTTTTTTTTTTTAATACGCTAGACAAAGGTAGCACTTTTATCCACACTGAGTGGCCAAATTTCCGTGCAGTCTTACATTCTGCAAACAATCAATCAACATTTTATACAGCTTAGAGCAGACTGTGGTAGATAAAACATAAGTAAATGAAAGTCTGTTTAACATGACACAAAACCTGGAGATAGATGAGGAAGAGCAGGCAATCAAAAGTGCCACATGCAATAAAAATAAGCAAAGGTCATTTTATGTCATCTACATCTATAAATGTGAAACAGAAGAGAATTTACATAAATGGATGTTTCAAGCAGTAGTGAATACTCCTCATATAAGTATTAACCTTGTTTGCTCTTATATTTAAAAGCACAATGAGGTTATCCTTAAATCTCATAATGTATGTCTATGTGAATTTTTTGGGGACAACACCACTAGCAGATAGAAGCAGCGTTTTACTTAGTGCAGAATGGAAAGGCACGCAGTTCAGCTGCCTTCTCAGCAGGAGAAGGTTCACACACAGTAAGAGTCTGGCTCAGTAAGGACAAGCAAAGTTGAGAGCTATTACCTCAACCACTTAGAACCCATTCATGATGGGTAGAGTGGCAGTAGAACTCTGGATGCAGGAGCCTGAACAGCAATTAGGAAACAATCCCAAGTGCCATTAGCGGTCCCTAAGCCTAGGGCCATCAAGGACAAGAGTTCCATCAGCTTACTCTGAAAGATGGTTTCTGGGAAACAATGTTTGGAATCTATTGAAATGTGGCAAGACAGAGTCAGTGAGGCAGCATCAACAGCAGTTGCATTCCACTGTACCAGTATGCACTTGTGCCACTCTGCCCATCACAGACAGGGGGACAGGGAGGACACAAAGCAATTGCAAGCTATAGCCCTTGGCTAGGAATCCCATGCCCTGCTTCAGAGGTTTTGCCATCTATGAATACCTCTATTCTGGTATTTTGTATATGCAATCTCATTCTGTCTATGTACCATACTGACCAGATGTCCCGTACATATGTTAGGCACAACGTCAGCTGACATTAATGTATACTGCCTCTCCCTTGGCCTGTTTATTTGGCCTTGAGGCAATGCTAATGCATATACAGAGCTTCTGGTTACAGCTGGTTTCCATCCAGACAGCTTGGACTGTATGCTTGCACCTGCCTGCAAAATACTGGATGGACAAATCTCTGCATGAAATGTTGTTGTCTTCAACAGACAACGTCCCATCCCAATAATTAAGTGAATGAGTCCTCATATACCTCTTTGCCTTCTCAAGACTTGTTCTGCTATCAAATATCGGTTCATAAAACTTCTATTTGAAGTTTGAAACATAAGACTTTTGTTCGAGTCTTGCGGACATTTCAAATTTTTTTGCCATTCAAGTACACCTTGGCCAGTCAATCCCAGTCATAAACTTTTGAGGTTTCTAATACAGATTGGATAAAAACTCCAAATAGGTCAGAAAAGGACACTACCTAAGGAAGTTGCACGAGGAATTAAGAAATCCAGACCAGAGATATGGTTACTGAGAGCCAGTAATCTTCCCAGAAAGAGCTAAGCAATAAAACTGGACTTGTTTTATTTATAATTCAACTATTAATTTCATTTTGGTATATTGTTCATGCTAGACAAGAAGACAGATCAGGAACTGTGTAATATAATCAGCAAAATTCTCTTTAAAAATTTCTGTAAAATGTACATTCAGGAACACAGTATTGTACGGTATATCAAATAAAAGCAGTAAATTGTGAAGCACTTCAGATTTTAATCACTAGTGTCTCATTTCAGTACCTTATCTCCATCACAAGCAATTCCTTTTAACAATGATTCAATTTATATGGTTTGTTTAAAGAAGAAATTCAACTTACTGAAGCTGAAACCGCCTTACATTCAACATATCACAGGGTTCTTTCAATCACCTACCTCCCCGGCTGGCAAGGACAGTACCATCGTAGGAAAATGTCAAGCATGAAGTGTCAGTGCCTGAAGCATGGGCTTGCCTGCAGTGGAACTTCGTATGTACCTGTTTGTCAAACCAACAAAACGTTACAAAACAGACACTACAAACAAAATGACTCCAAGTGGGACAAGCATTTTATAGCACTTTGTGTACTCTGACTCTATTCCCAAAATTAAACAGAAACCCCTGCCTTTATTAGGAGGTACAGCAGCTAAATATTTCAACGGCCTTTTAAAAACGTCATATACGTTTCAGAATAGGTTCTCATTATAATAAGGCCTTGAATGCAAAATTTAACTTCTTCATAGATTTAATTATAGAGTACACATTTAGTGCTCCCACCAGCACTGAACAAAAAGTAGTTATGCCTAGTTAAGATAAAAATACATTTTAAGACAGTCCTCAACACTCCCCTAAGCAGGCTTGTAGTTCCAAAAACTAACCAAACACATACATACTTTTGAAAGGACTTCAAAGAAGAACTGGAGGAACTTACTTCTGCCAAACTTAATCCCTGACAAACTTCATGGCTTACATAACAGAACAACATTCAGATATTTTGAGATTTCTGTTCCATTTAGCTGCAATAAAGTTCCAGTTGGGAATTATGTATATTTTATTTTAATTATTTCTATTTTGCTGATAATTCTAAAGAAAGGTTGAAATTGCTTTCAGGTTAACGTTTTATTCTTATTTATTAAATCATTATTTGGTAAAATACCTAAAAGTTTTATTAAAAAGAGAGGAACCTCAAATTAAATTTTAACACTTTTAAAATTAAGATTGCCTACTTCCCAACCAAATACAAAGGTCTCAGCTAAGATATCAAGAAATCTTTCATACAGAGGAAGGGAAGATGGAAGAAAAGAGAAAAGAAAGATACAGAGACAAAGGAATTAGAGACAGGCTGATTCCTTAACATGTAGGTAATTATACTCCTCACTTACCCTCTTTTCATAACAGAAAACGAATTCACTGTAAAATTAAGCATTCAAGACTTAAAGGTTACCAGTACAACTGTACCTCATCTTCCTGTCTGTAAGATAAGGTTTAATACACACAGAGGAGAAGGTGACAAATTAGCGACCTTAAAGTCCTTTATTTATTGCGGTGATGAGCAAAAGAGAAAAATATGCATAATGGAGTATATTTTCAGAGGGTCGTTTGAACAGTATGCAGAAAGTCAGCCCTAGAATCCCACCCTAAACCGTAAGAGGACAAAACATTGAGCAGCTGCTCAGTGATTTCTATCCAAACTATAAGAGACACAGTTCTACAGAATATAAAAGGAGGATGTGATCATAAAATGCAGTCACACGGGCTGAATTCAGCTTGCACAGGAATCCTCAGTTACTGAATCTTCTAATTTTTGACACGCACCTTACTAGGGCTCTTTTTTATGGGCTATTTTGCAAGTAAAAGAACAAAACTAGTAAAGCAGCTAATGTTGTTTATCCTTCAGAATATTTGTTCTAAATTTGGTTCTAAAGCTAAACAATCTTTGTGTGATGACATTAATAATTACTGCAATCTTATTTCGATGTGCAGATTTTGCCAAGTATCGAGAGGAGTCACATGAGGCACTCCCTCCACAAATGACTCCTCAACAAACAAGGGAGGACTTCAAATACCAAGTACATGCCTCTTGTAGTATTTTGGAGATAGAATATAAGGGCTTACATTTAGCCTTAGTAATTGTTTTAAAATTACTCTCACTTCTAGGCAATTTTGCATACCTTGGAGTAAGTCTATGAACAGACTGCAGTTTACAACTGTATGTCTTTGGTAGGAGCGTTTGTAAATACTAAAAACCATATTTTACGCATCCAATTACATAAAATTTTCCAAGTATGTTGTAACATACAAAGGATAAAGTGTGAATTGGCTATCAGAAAATGAATTTTCAGTAGTATTTGTTAAACATTGATAAGCAGTTAAAATTATATATTTTCTAAGAAATACCATAGACACTTGCAAAACCATCATAGTTAATAATCGCACGTTTAAAAAATCCAGAAATATTACATTAAAATATGATTTTTTTTCACTCTGCTGTCCAACTTAATTAATAAAACCTAAACTGTCTCTTTCAGGAATTAAACAACTCACCTTAAACTGGCCCAAAGTTATGTCAGGAAAGGTTTAGATTGAGTATTAGGAAAAATTTTTTCACTGAAAGAGTGATCAAGCATTGGAAGAGTATGCCCAGTGAAGTGGATGAGTCATCATCCCTGGAGGTATTCAAAAGACATGTAGACGTGGCCCTTAGGGACATGGTCTAGTGGTGGACTTGGCAGAGTTAAGGTTAATGGTGGGACTTAAAGAACTTTATAAGAGTCTTTGCTGACCTAAACGACTTTATGACTCCATGTCACTGACTGTGGAGCAGTCTCAATTGTACCTCAACAGGTTCTTACCCTTTTTCAACTGTGCTGTAAAAAAAGGAAAATGGGAACAGACAGATATCAAAGACTGCCCTTATTTACCTCCTTAATCACAAAACCCAAAAACAACAGAATTAATTTAGCCCAACTCTATCCACCTTTCATGCCTTAGGATTTCATGTAAAACAAGACTTGCACAAAAGGGATAGTAAGAATGCATCAGCAATTCTGTTTGTCTTTAAAAACAAATTTGCTCGGTTCACCAGTAAAAAGATTGTTTTCCTAACTTTGAGCTTGCAAGCTTGCCCTCCATATATTATTCTGCAAAGGAATATAACCCTGAATTGTAATATTAAATCAAATATTTTATATTGATTGAAGGTTGCTCTAAAAATGATAGAAGGTTGAACAAGAACTTTTTACATATACTGGCAAACGTTCACTGTAATTTTCAAAGAAAATAATGTGTTTGACCTCTGACCTCCTAATATTTTTAACAGATGTCTAATCTTGCTAACAAATCATTAGCAAAAAAAATTGTTATCAGAATGTTTCTTGTTGGAAAGACATGAAACAACAGAACTAATGTACACAATTCAAAAATCTGACTCAAGAAGGGGAGAGCATTGAAATATTAGATAAAGATATAAAGATAATTAGGGTAAAGTGTATCTACATATCTCCTTCAGTACCCTTCTCCTTTTGCTGCAGAGGTGTCTGCTATTAAAAAGTAACAGTCATGTGCCATACAAAGTTTGATAAGTTCATCAGTCCTTAATATTTTTAAAGGTTTAGTTACTTCAGCAAATTCTGCAGTAAACCACTATCTTCTGCAACTTGTTTAAAGGCTTTCTAGCTAACAACTTCAGCAATGTAAGCACTGTCTTCCTAGCTTTGTATTAGCACATATATTTTTGTTAAGCAATTACAGCTGACTGTACTTGTGTGCAAATGAGATGACAGGCAGAAAACATGAAGCACATGTGAGAAAGGACAGTTGTACGTATCAAAAAAAATACATGTCAGGATTTGCAATATTGCTGCAGTCCTCAGAGAGGAAGAGAGGCAGAAGATAAAAGGAAGCCAGAGAAAGGATTGGTAAGGGAAGAGTTGTGAGCTGGAAAGGTACGTGACCAGAGCATCAGTAACGAACATCCCTTGCACAAAAATCTGGGTGGATTGAAGAGGACCCATATGGGAAGTGAAGATGCCAGTAGCACATTAAATTTTTATCACAAACGAATGGTCTACAGAGCCACATGGTCACAGCTCTGCATCACACAACTGCTCTTCTGCTCAAAAAGCCTAAACAAAACACATTCTAACAAAAGCAATAGATCTACTCAGTTTGTTCACCTCAGAAATCTGAGTCATGTCTATGAGAAAAACAACAGTATGAATAACTAATGAAATTTTTGAACTTTCCACATTGTTTCTGGGATACAGTATTTCACAGTAAGCCAACACTTTCCCAAGATTATAATGCTTCCCACATTCTGCCCCCCTTGCTTTTCTTTTAACAAAACATTGAATGTCCCAGCCAAGAAATTCTTCTTCCTTTTTATTCCTAACATCTTCTAGATTTTTTAAAAGCACAGGCAGTAAATTAAGGCAGGCCTTGGGGAAAGTGAGATCTACAAAGGTTGCTATATCTTTCCCTGTATTACAGATGTGTAGCAAAATTTTACTTATTAGTGTGAACACAGTCAACCATAAAACCACAATCATGTCTACAGCAAAGGGAACTCTGTCCAATAATGAGTGCGCCACTAAAAATGTGCAATCTACTTCAGTTTGATCCAGCACAAAGAAGGCATGATGCGAACCGGGAAACTCATCTCTAGAGGTAAGGCCCTCCTTACCAGCTGTTTCCTCTCTTTCACATCAAGGAATGTTTCCAAGGCTCCTTGAGAGCTGAAAATTGGGATTTACACTAGTTTCAAACTAGCTCAGCAGAGATGCCAGACAAGCAAGTTCCAAGCTGTGTATGGTGTTTGGGTTTTAAACGAGTCTTTTCACCTGAGATACTTTCTGGAAAAGAAAATGGCTGATGCTGACAACATTCAGCTGTGAAAGTTATAATTCTTAGCAAACGTAAAAGCTTTCTAAGATAATATATTATCATAGGCCAGTCTCAGGGTGACAAAGGTATGAGTTATAAAGCTGAAAAAAGAAATCAAACAACAAACTAGAAACCTTTTTTAGTTGAGTAAAGCTGCCTGGGTCTTTGTTGAAAGTGATCCCATCAGAGACAGCCAACATCTCAGAGCTGTGATCACAGCTGACAAGACAGACAGGTTCCCAGGGCACGAGTTAAACTCTCCAAATGGCTACTTCCCCATCCCCCCTTCAGCCAGCTCTACTAAAGGAAGCATATCTGTTTGCTCTCCATTATAATCCAGAAGAGAAATGTAAGCGCACTATCTGGGTTTAGTATATCACTTTAAAATTATCAGGTCTACATATGTCAGCTGAATTCAGGAATTTCTCAATATTTTCCCTGAGTAGGCAGTTGCAGACTGTATCAGATGCTTTTTTAAGTCTCCATAAACATGATCCCCAAGCTTTCAATTTATGTGACAGCTCTTCAATACCACTTCCCGTGGTGTAGAAATGGATGCTGTTTCAGTAATGAGTATACTGATGCTAAACAAGATTAACTTGTGAAATCTGAGGTTT